GGAAACAGCCTTTTCAATATGCTAATAAACATAATGATAATACAACACAAGCACTTTTGCTTTTAGGACAGTGGATTTTAAATATAGCAAAATCAAACAAATCTGAACATAAAGATGAATTGTTAACATATCTTAGTTTAGCATTATCTATTTTTGATAAAACAAAAAACATGAACAAAATCCTCCTAGTCTTTTATTTGTGAAAACTGCACTTCGGCTTGGGCAAGTAAATTTTACAAAAATTACAAAAAATAACTATGATCTTATTTATGAAACATCAAAAAAACTTGGAAAAAGTTTAGAAAATGTAATATGGAAATCTCGAGATGAAGTGTGGAAAAATAAGAAAATTCTTGAAAAGCCTAATTCATTAGATGAATACCAATTGGCTTTTCCAAGCTGTCTTTCTGGTTTTTTTGGCGGGTTAATTACCATATTACAAAAAAAAAATAATATGATATAGTTGTAAAAAAGCAAAAACAAAGAAAATTAGAAATAAAAGCTTTTGATAAAGTTAGAGTAGAAAAAATATCAACATTTTTTATTTCTGTAATTCTTACTATTGCTTTCCCAGCCACTGATATTTGGCTTACACATGTTATGAGTTCTTTAGCATGGAAATTTCAATTATCAACTTCACTTTATAGTATTTTGTGTATAGCAAATGTAGTATCACATACACAAAGATATGAGCAAAGATTGGAAAAATGTAGAATGATACAAACAAATCCAAATTCAAGACTTTTAAAAGATTTAAATATTTGGACAATATGTGTTATTGATAACATTGACTTTAAGGAAAGTTCATTTAAGTTTGGAAATATTTTTGATAATTCCCAGAATACTTCACATGCCACATTAAGAATAGTCTTTCAGTTTACCTTACCTATGACAATTACAAATAGTAATAATATTAATATTAATACTATTAGTAATAATATTTTATTTGGTGAGTTGAATTTTGTAAAAAATCAATATCAAAAGCATAAAAATATCTTTAGTCAACTTGTAGAATTATATCTGAATAGTTTAGATATTGAGGAAATTTATCATGAACTTATTAAAGATGTATCATTGAGATGTCAAATTAATGCTCCAAACTTTGTAATTCTTACACCAGGTGAAGAACCAAATTGTAATCTAAATGTATATAATTCATGTGAGCAATATTTTAAGGATCTTAAATTATCAGAAGATAAGTATTTGGATGTTGCTTCTGATGAGGCAATTTTTTGCCAACTAATATCATATTGTGATTCAAAAAAAGACAAACCAATACGGTTAATTTTAGGCCAATGGCATACATCAAAGGCAATGTGTGCTACTTTAATTAAAATTTTTTCAGGATATGGAATTTTTAGTTTGGCCACAAAACTTGGTACTAAGTATATAGATAAATTAGAAAAAGTCGTTGATTATAATGCCACATTTCATGTATTAGAATTAATTTGGATGTCCGTAGGAATTGCTTTATCAAAAATATTTAAAAAATCAAAATGAAACTATTGAAAATATTGAAAAAAAAAATACTATTGTAAAAGTTTGGCTTTTATATTTTTGTTGATGTGTTATATAGTTAATTACAAAATAGGAATCAGAAGAGCTAACTATGATTTACAATTTCATTCACTTTCAGCATTTGCATCTCTATTTTTAGTTTGTAGCAAAAGTAATTATGGGTGATCAACAACTCATTTTCTGTCTCAAGTTTATAATGATCCCCAATTGCAACAATTACTTCATCAGGTATGTTCAGTGAACCATATACATCCTGGTCACTATCTTGCTTTTGATAAAGTATTAGAAATTTTTGGTGTAAAATTTGTTAAACAGAACATCAAAGCAAATATAATGGATAAAGAACAACTCAAGCTACACATATCATCTATTCAATCTGAAATCGATAGAATACAGGCACTTTTATCAGATTATATAGGAGATATTATTACAGTGGGTAAAGATCGTAATGTACAATCCTATAAAGAAGCAGTATAGGAACTTGCTAATAATTTAACTGCTGCATTTCAACTGTCAGATCCAACAACCCATGAACTTTTTAAAAATTCCAAAGAAATAAACGAAGTAGGATTTTTATTTATTGCAACATATTATGAAAAAGAAATAAAAAAATTAAACTCAATTTATAATCAAGAAATTTTAAAAACCGAAAAGAAAGTTGTTAAGGGTCGAAGAAGTTGTGATATAAATGTACATAAGTTGTCGAGTATGTTAAGTAGTAATAATGATAAAAAGAAAAGAAAAGAAAATTATTATTAATAGTGATAGTGGCAATAATACTATTAGTGACGAAATAAACCCACCTTCTCCTAAACATACATGTAGAACAACAAGAAACAATGCAAAAGAAATTCTTTCTCAATTGCTTACTCATACTACTCTCTCTGATGATGATCAATTACTATATGATGTTCTTCATGAACTTCAAGATATTGAATCGGGTTGGACTAAGGAACGTGTTATGACTTATGTGCGCAACTATCACAAAAAAAATAATCAAATAAGAACATAAAACTACAAAATATAAATATAAATTATGTTTAGTAGTAATGGTAAAGTATAATATTTAAGCTTTTGGAATAACTACATTTATACTTTTTAAGATTAAATAAAGAACTTATTAAAACGAATATTGTTTGTTTTAATATAATGATACATCAGATCTAAAAATACTTGTATCTAATAACGATAAATATTAAGCAAAACTAAAAAAAATAATAATTAAACCAAAAAATAACAGATACATATATAAACTTTCTCATCTTAAAACAGTAAACATTATCATTATCTTATTATTAAAGAAATAACTTAAATATATTTTAGTAAACTAGCATAATTCCCGGTACTAGCCTCCTATTTTATATTAATAAATATAACTCACATTAACAGATTTTTAATAAATAAATGCTTATGTCTATTATCTTTAATTCCAATTCTTTAGTATACGATAACAATAACCAGCATATGTATTTTACTAGCATAATACATTGCTGCTGATTTTTGATAATAAGTATCATGCTTCTTTAACTTCTATTCTATTTTTACAACAGTTATCAGTATATATATTCCACTAGTATGTCTTATTCTTTTCAATACTAATTCCATCTTAATAACTATTTCCAAGTGCAAATATTTACTGGCATACTTCATATCTGCTAATTTTTGATATATCTATCCTGTGATAGTATAATAATAGGGTATTGTCATTTATTTTTAAATGGAAGATCTTTTTTAGTTTTTAATTCATTAAAGTTTTTAAGCTTGTTTTTAGAGAAAAAAAGACTCAATGAGTCATAAATATTATACTACAAACATGTGGTAAATTGCAGTAATGTATAGTTACAATAGAGACGAAAATTACAATTTGTCTTTTTTTCTTATAAAAATGTGCAAATGTTGCATACAGATCTTATAGTAGAATACATTACACAGGAAATTAAGGGACATTTCCACTGATCGTTACTAATTTTTATATAAATTATAATATTTATACTTCAAACTTATACTAATCTCCAGTTCCTAGTGCTAAATTTTTTCTTAACCATTTTCATCTGAGTTAATATATTACTATCTGGCTATCTAACTTATTTATAAATGATTTAGGTTTATTTAACCAGGTTTTATCTCTAGAAAATACTGAAAATAGTAGCTATAGACTCTTTCTTGAAACTTTAAAAGGTTCTGGCTATATTTATCTCATATTTATGTAATTTGGGCAAATTTTTTTTTTTTTTTATTCTTTGATGTCTAAATACCTAGCTCAAAAAAAAAACCCCCAACATTTTTTTGATTAGAGATTCAATCTAGATAGTATTTATCTAAATAATTATTGGATATTTAAATAAAGTTCAGATTAAATACTCAAATAACAGATAGAGATATTTATTTACTATTAATATTCAAATAATTATCCAAATATTAGTTGGATTATCCAGATATCAGAACTGTTTATCTGATTTGAATTATCTGGATAATTTAGATATAGATAAACAGATGATGAATTTATATAAATTGGATTTCTACTTTTAATAATGCTATGAACCTAAATAATAGAAAAAGAAAAAGGAATGATTCTTGCTCTTATTAGTTTAATAAGTACTGAGAAAGTTGCCAAATGAATTGGCCATAACTTCACAATGATTAAAAGATTTTTAAATAAGTACAAAAGAACCAAAAAAACTGAAAATTTACCTAGGTCTGAACATCTCACCCTAAAGAAGCAAAAAAAAATAGCTATACCAAAAAAAGCTTTGAAGAAAAGATACAAGCCTTTGTACAGAATTGTAAAGAATTTAAGTTTTCAATGCAGTGTATCAACAGCAGCTAGGTCCCTCTATGACTTCAGGAGTTCATTCTTGAGTTGCTGCTATAAAACCTTTTTTAACAGAAAACAATATAAGTGGACAAATATGTTGGTGTGAAAATAATAAGAACTGAAACATTTATAAGTAGCAAAATATTGTTTTTTTTGACAAAATGAGTGTGAAAGTAGGCAAATAATTGCACCAAGTTTGAGTATAGCATTACACAAATAAAAGGTATAAATACAAGTATTTAGTGCTAAGTTTTAAGAGTAAAAGAGTTTTAGTGATAGTGTGATTATGCTTCATTGATAAAATCAAAGATCCTATAATTTTTTAATGAATACAAAGGTCTCAAGCAAAAAATTACTAAAAAAATTTATACCAAGGTTCTAAACAACTAACTCATACTATTTGTTGTGGCTATGCATTGTTAACTAGATCAAATCCAATTTTTCAGCAAAACAATATCTTTATTTATAAGATGACAAATTGGTTTGAAAGAAAAAAAATTAAATATATAAAGTGGCCATTCTAATCTTTAGATCTAAATCTAATAAAAAATATCTAGAAGATTGTAAAAGATAATATTTAGAGTTATAAAAACTTTTCAAAAGATGCAAACCAGCTTAAAATAGCCTTGAAGGAGGAGTAAACAAGGGTGGATAAGTTGGTGTTTCGGGTGGTTGTAGATGAAGAATTGAGGCAGTAGCAGATGCAGAGGGCTGTGCATACAAATATTAAAAAAAAAGGATGTTCTATAGTATAGGTAGGCAATATAAAAAATAAACTCTGCTACTGATTAGTAATTATTAATTAATATTTAGTGGAGTTGCTGAGTTTGCAAAGTCTGCCTACCTATTCTATAGAACATCCAAAAAAAAAAAAAATTTAATATATTGTAATGTAAAAATAAAATAAATAAAAATTTTATTTTTATCTAATAAATTAAGCATTACTTTTGGTAGCTACTGTACATATCAAGATTAAAGATATTATTTAAACCTTCGAGTTTTGAACTAGTAAAATTCACAAAATATTCATTAGATTTAGTTACTCTCTCTATAGTTATATTTAGAGGTATAAATGTAGCCAAAATTTGTTGTAATTATAATAAATTATAGCATTTTTGCCATAATTCTTTATAACTACAACAAATTACACTAATGTGCTTACACCACTAGTCTTATCTTCAGACCTATTAATCAAAAAGCATTTATCTAGGAATATCTCCAATAAAAGCCTCTTGATTACCGTATATTGCCGAAAATAAGCTACCTTTTTTGGCCAAAAAAGTGACACAAAAATCCCGGGGGTAGCTTATTTTCAGGTA